TCCTAGCTTCCTGTAATAATGTTAAATGATTTTAAGGTGTTTAATTATGAAGATATATTTATCTTATAGTACCTGCAAACAGATTTTGTGCTTCAACACCAAACTATAATTTAACATTAACTAGAATTTAATTATTAATATATTGCTTTATTTGATCAAATAATACAAATTGTTCAAAGTACATATTTTTAAATCTACATGTAACTTGTGTATTTTATTCTATATATGATTACTTAATCATTTGTTTAGTTAAAAGTATTAGTATTGTTTATAAGTATATAATTCATCAAATTATTTTGAACACTTATTTAATAAATATTTTGAAACAAGACATGGATATGTTTACACGTATATAATGATGATGCATTAAATTTTATGTTTATATTTATACGTTCTTGAATTTGGAATAGGTTGTTTCTTAATTAACGTTTTATTCCTCATATAAGGAAGTAATATTTCAGGAACCATAATTCGAGAATGTTTCGTTTGGTGTGTTTCACAAAGTGCAATTAACATACGAGGTATTGCACAAGCAGTTCCATTTAGAGTATGCACATGTAAGCATTGACCATTTTGTGTTTTGTATTTTATGTTAAGTCGTCGTGACTGATAATCTGTACAATTACTGCAACTAGATAATTCTCCATATATTTTTTTTCCAGGCATCCAACCTTCTATATCAACCTTCCTAAATTTAATAAATTAACAAATTAGAAAATTTCAATCATATACATATAATGTGTAGAATGAACAAATTCAGGTAAATTTAAAGAAAATGAAACTACGTTAAGGAAGTATGCAACCTCTTAAAAAAGATTGAAAATTTGTTTGCTTATATGTACAGAATATTGTGATAGCAGAAGTATTCGAAATACAAAGAATTTGTAAAATTATAACAATTTTGCAGCATAATATTGCCATTCTTTATATACCTATATGCGGGAGCTCCTAAATCATGAGGTGGCATATCAATTACTTGGAAATGTAAATTTAGAGATGAAAATAAATTTTCTTGAATTTTGTGAAGTTCCTGAAATTGATCCATTGACTTCTCTTGTGCAGAGCATACGAACATTTCAACTTTTGTAAATTGATGAACTCTAGTAACATACAAACATATTGAAATGCAATAGTCAAATTATAATTTAGGATATATTGATCAAGTTTCAACAGTTGCATAATAATAAATTATATTAGTAATACTTTTTGTAACACTAAAGAGAATAAGAAAAGTTACCTGTATATTCCTTTTTGATCAGACACACTAGAAATTTCTGCTCGGAAACATCTACTTACAGCAGCTAATTTTAAAGGTAATTCTTCAACAGAAAATGTATTATTCATAACATAATAAGCTAACGACATTTCTGCTGTTCCAGACAAACTGTAGTTATCTCCATAAGATGGACTTAGATTATATATAAGGGTTCGTCCACCATCTGATAACAATCCACATCTTTCTATAATATTAGTAGGAATAATGTCAGGAACAGAAACAATTTTAAAGCCGTTCTTCAATAATTGTTTAATTGTGTAATGAACTAATGCTTCTTCTAAATCTGATAAATCTCCTATAAACATATATCCCCTTTGACCTATCAAAGGACCAAGAAATTGGTGTTTCAATAAGTTTAATTTCGTAGTCAATTCTACAAAATCTTTTGGTTCAAAATCAAATTCTGGTTTATGACCATATTCTCTTAGCATCTGTGGTTTATCACCATAAGATAATACAACTGGATCTGTTTGATTCGGTATTTTACTCAATTCATGCAAGAAGAATTGTTTTAATTCTGGTTTTTGTGACAATTCAAGAACCTTGTCAATATCTCCAACACCTTTTCTTGCTGTTATATTATTGAAAATATCATCTCGATTAACGGGATTGCATAAATAGTTTATATTATACTCAGGTTCTGGAATACATTTCATTAAGCATGTATCATTTTGTATGCATCGTTTCTGAGTCTGTAATGAACCCCATATATAACAAATTATAACTTCTTAAAAAACATTTATCAACTATGTATAAAAAAATATATTTTATAATTTACCAAGAAATGTGTATAAAGTCGTTGATTCTTAACAAAACGGTGAAATCCTTGTTTAAACGACATTTTAAAAATTGATAAATATCAGTTTTACATACGTATCTATTAGTTGCTGTTGATATTTATATAACCTAATATATGTATAAACATGTAATTGTACTTTTCACAAACGTAATAACAAATACCGTCGTGGTATTACTACCATTACTATTTTAAAATAAGAAAAGATAATAACATTTACTACATTTATAATTATACTATTGTCATCAATTGTATGACCGGTTTGTGGAACAATTTACAATCTCTAGCGTTACCCACATTCATTCTCACAATTTATAGCAATATACACTTAGCTTTGTTGATAATTTCTTAAGTATTAAGATTAAGACACATGTGAATAGTCTTAAAACAGTATTACATATTAAATAAATATTACAATATTAAATCAATTTATTTAAATCGTTTCTTTACATAAGTTAGGTTATATACGATTTACACGAACAACTCTTGGATTATTATATTACTACACAAGTATTTGTTAATTTATTTGAAAGTAAAAATAGTAAGTACCACTAAGTTTTTATAAAACATAAGAAATAAATAGTTTAATTATTAACAATACAGTTTTAATGTAAAATTAATGTTAACCTTTTTCACCACTCACTTTTTACTATAAAGCTGATAGTAAGATTTGATGGCATAAATCATGTTATACGAGCTTAAATTTGTAAATAATAATTGCAGATCGTTATGGGTCTCCGTATGCTATCAAAGAGATGGTCTTCTCTACGTTATCTTCTTTCCAATCATCATGAGTTTAAAGACAAAACTAGAAATTTTAAATATTTTGGAGTCGGTGTTTTCACAGCTGTTGTGATTTACAATACATCTGGAAAATCTATTTTAGCAGCACAAAATGAAATAGATATTACAAAATTTATGGCAGAACCCATCACTGATATTAAGGATTTAAAGAAAAATAATAATATGAGGAAAAAGATGGAGATATTAGTAATGAAAACTCAAACAGACTTCTGTAAATCTTTAGAATCATTAGAAGAACCAGATTGTCATTTTAAAACTGATAGATGGACTAGAAAAGAAGGTGGTGGTGGAATTACTTGTGTTTTACAAGATGGAACTGTATTTGAGAAAGCTGGTGTAAATGTGTCTGTTGTTACCGGTACATTACCACCAAGTGCTGTGCAACAAATGAGAGCACGAGGCAAAAAAATGCAAGAAGGTCCTGTCCCATTCTTTGCAGCTGGTGTAAGTGCTGTAATACATCCTCGCAATCCTATGGTTCCCACGATACATTTTAATTATCGTTACTTTGAAGTTGAAAATTCAGATGGTACAGTTCAATGGTGGTTTGGAGGTGGTACTGATTTAACACCTTATTATTTAAATGAAGATGATGTGAAACATTTTCACAGTACTTTAAAAACTGCATGCGATAAGCATAATCCATCTTATTATGCAAAATATAAAAAGTGGTGTGATGATTATTTTCTTATTACACATAGGGGAGAGCGTAGAGGTGTAGGTGGTATCTTTTTTGATGATCTTGATGAACCAAGTCAAAATGAAGCATTTCAGTTTGTAACATCTTGTGCAGAGGCTGTAATTCCCTCTTACATTCCATTAGTAAAGAAACATAAAGATGATGGATATGGATATGCTGAAAGACAATGGCAATTATTGCGTAGAGGAAGATATGTTGAATTTAATTTAATATATGATCGTGGTACAAAGTTTGGTTTATATACTCCTGGTGCCCGATATGAAAGTATATTAATGTCTTTACCCCTATCTGCCAAATGGCAATACATGCATGAACCAGAAGCTGATTCACAAGAAGCAAAACTTATCGAAGTGCTAAAAAATCCTAAAGATTGGTTGAGTTTGTAAAAAATATCTCTCATCCATCAAAGGTAGAAATGAAAAATTACTCAGCAAGAATATATTTATGTTACCTCGTATTAAAGTAGTATAATAATTTGTTCTTTTTTTATATTTCATATA